ATGTTAAATTATTGTTTTAACGTATCTACGATATCTAGTCAATGTTTTTGATTTGATACTAGTAGTCTTATAGTTAATGCAATATATATGGACTATATCCTAAACACTAAGATATTACATTGATTCCTGCATTGCTATATTTATTTATTTATTTATTATTAAGAGGGGATGTGGCACTGCAACCATCGGGTCTTTTGTGCTCTCTTCTCGGGTTAATGTAAGTCTCTAAAACGTTTTATAACCTCTTCCGTAAGGATGTATCGTTATAAATTTTATCTGGTATGTTTATCTGATTTATATACTTATATATATGTATATACTTATGTATATATGTATATACTTTTGTTACTTATCCTAAGAGAATGAAAAGATTATTTTTTTCTCTTGAAAGCGGAAGCATATATACTCAGAAGTTTATGTTCTGTAAAATAAGGTCTATGATTAATTCCTAAATTTTTATTATGATAAATTTTCTCTTAAAATTCGTTAAGATTGCTAGATCGCTTATTGTTAGGAATGTAATATGATTGAAGTAGTATGGAATCGTAAAGTGGTTATCTGTCACAGATGAGAGAGAAATCTGTATTGTTTTACAATTTTTTACTGACGACAAAGTTAAGAATAAAAAGTTATAGAGAAATATTATTACTAATAAATTATATAGAATTTGCATTGCTGAAGTTGGATTTTATCATTGTTGGCGTCACAAACTTGAATCATTTTTCATAAAAAATTGCATGAGTTTTTCAAGCAAAATCAGAAAACATGGTAAAAAATTCTTCAAATAAAAGCTCAGAATCTCTAAAATGGACTTTAACCCAATTTTCGAAATTTTTACATTGCATGCAACTAAAATACAATTACAAACTATATAACGTAATTACGACGATTTAATTATTCCTCATCCATGTAGGAGCTAATTTTTATATGTTGAGCCAAAAAGTGAATATTATTGACCGCATATTTTCATAACGATGTAGTTTCTGTTGTGTTGAAGAGGTTATAGAGGTGATGTCAAAGTTGATTAAACTCCATTAACCTATGAAAAGTTATTAGAAGAATGAAGTGCAACCACAATTGACTCAGTGTTGCTCCGTTCGATGCGTTTTCCCCCCTCTTTAACACGTCAATAAAATGTAATATTTTACTTTACAAATGACGACATTTGTTACACTGAAATGACTGCTACACTGGAATATCACCCTAAAGTATCATTTCTATGTGTGTTCTGAAAATTTACTCGCAACATCTGTTGGATTATGGAACAATGAGCTCTTACAAATTTTATTAATTATATGTGTTTATAATGTGAGAGATAACTTTAATTAATTATCTTAATTAAAAACTTCTTACTGCAAGACTGAAAATTAAAAAGTGCCACAAATAAGCACTTTGTATGCTATATAGAGTTTTCTTTCATTAAAAATTTTTAGAGAGGTTTCGAAAAATTAATTAAAAATTATTAATTATGTAGAATCAAAAATTTTGTGATTATGTATATTTTTCAACTTCAAAAACAGTTCGAATTAATATTTAAAGTATTAAGAGTGATTTGTGTTTATTATAATACTTCATATATAATAAAAATATATAAAAAACAAACCACCTACTATATTAGTTAATACAAATATTTATATTATTTAAATTTTTATTGGATTACAACTGAACTCTATTATGTAGATTCAATAACTGAAATCTCTCCAAATTTTTTGCATTCTGACTATTGTTCAACCTTTCTATATATCGCTTGCTGTATTTTTGAACAGAGTAGTTTGATGGATACCACGGACCCTTGGCCCACGGTGCCTTTGTAGTATTTTTATACCGGAGACGCTTGTCGCACAACATAAGAAGGATCAACAGCTTCTGATGAATGGTGTAGTGTCGCAAAGTTGTAGGGCGTATGTCGAAACTTAATTGAGAATTTGTTCCAAACAGCCAATTTATTTTTTTTTTTTTTGGTTTTTAAGCTTGCTGCAGTTGCTTATATTTTGTGTGGTTTCTCCAGGTAAATCTGTGGTCCAAATCCAGTGCCAGTTATTTCATAGACTCTCATAGTGAGGGTGCAATATTTATTTGAGAAAAGCTTACCCTTCGAATAATAAATATAACTAAAACAGATATTTGCACTTTGTCCTAACTTTTCCATTTTAATAGTAGGTATTCAGCAGTTAATCTTTGCTGCAGATATTAAGATGCTCCAGCTAGAGAGCAAAGTAGTTTCATTACTAAATGGACGGGAGAATATTTTGTTACAGCTTTTATGATTGTTTAATGAAATATTTAAATGATGACAATAGCCAAGCGTATAAATATTAAAAATTTAAGTAAGAATCTCAACACTTAGCTTAGCTTTTATGGTTATAAAAATTTAATTAAAATTAGTAAAATTAGTTGGGAACAAAAATAATGTTCAAAAAATGATTAATAAAAATAAAATTTAGATATTTAGTGTCTTATTAAACATTTTTAATGTTTTCAGTATAAGAATTTTGTAACTCTTCTCATCTCCTCCGCATACTTTCCTAAATCTTATTATTGTAAGTTTGTTGTTGTTTTTGTTCTTGGTTAAGGTTATAAAAAGCTTGTCTAATATCTATTCGAATGTATTTCAGTAGGCACTTGGCCCGTACGACATTCTATGCCCATTATTAAAACATATTCAAATTTTTTTAAGCCGGTACCGGTTTATTTAGACTTAAATGGCCTAAGCATGGGCGAGCGCGACTTTAAGATAGTCAGCAAACGCTGGATACTACAGCGGGGCGGCTGTCAACGATAAAAACAATATGGGCAACATGTGGCTTAAAAAACGTTCAAATAACAATGACAACAAATAAAACGAAGAGAAATGGGCATAATAAAATGAATAAGAATAAAAGTAAAAATAAAAATAAAACAAACCAAATGAAAACATAATCCAAAATGCAAACGAAATACCGAATTGATTTCCAATAAAGTTGAATGCACAACGGCGCGGGGCTTGGCTTCGAGGGAAAACTCGAGTCAGCGAAAATCTGACGACGTGGCGACGTTTTATATGGCGAACGTGTACCCCTGAAATGTGTGGCTTTTGTGCACGAACAGAACGGAAAATATTAAGTAAATAATTTAGCTGTTCAAATATGCAAATATGGCAATTATTTAAATTTTATATATTTTTTATATGAAAAATTAATAACTCATTTGTTTTGTGAGGGTAAGTCGTCTCTGTGGCCGGCCGGTTCATTTGTGAACTGTGCCAAGTGTCAAGTCATTTGAATTGCAGTGATGACCAATATTGGAAACAATTGCAATACTTTTGAATTATCAAATCAAACACTATTACTCTCATTATCTTTATTTATTATTATATGTAATATAATAATTTGATTTTATTATAAAGTTTTGTTTCAATTTTGTTCAGCTATACTTGCTGAAGATAAACAGTGAGATAAGAAGAAAGAAGTATGCTAGGATTAGACACACACTGCGTAAGCCTTATGAAGATATCACGCATGCTGCACTTACTTGGAACCCCCAGGGGCCTAGGTGCTGAGGCAAACCAGCAATGACCTGGAGAAGCACAGTTCAGCAGGAGACGGGCAAGTTGTTTAACGAGTTAAGAGCAATAGCATAAAATAGGAACCAGTGGATAACTTTTGTAGACTGATTAAGCTCCTAATGGAGTATGGAAATAATAATAATGTAGGTGCTGAGATTATGAACTTCAGCTTGTGTGGAGTGTGATACCCGTAACATTCTAGAAATATCAACGAACCACAATGTTCTCTTAAAATGTATAGCAACTTAATAATATACGGGATTTCATAAAAAATAGAACAACATATTGTTTGAATCTTGCTTTCAGGTACAAAAAATACCATTCAAATATTTTAAACAGAACATCTCTGTCGGCACATAGATGGCAATAGCTAATAACAGCCATAACTTGGCAGACGTATTTTTATTTCAAAATGTCGAGAGTTGGCTGATTGTCCTTAAGAACACGAGTAATCTTAGAGTAATCCCACTCCGCGAGTCCACAAAAAAGTGAATTATACGTCTGGGAATTCTCTCGCACCGTCTTGTTGAAATTACATGTTTTGCCCCGCATATATGTTTCCAATATCCCTTCAAAAATTTGATAACTAAATAGCTGTCCTTCATTATTTTGGATAATTCACAAGCCTATGATGTCTTCAGACCAAATGCCAAATCATATAGGATTTGAACCATTTTATGGGTACAATGGTTTTTAATATTTACTTGTGAATTTTCATTCTCGTACTATTCTAGATGAGACAATGTTTTTTTGATCGATCCACGCAGATAATGATACATTTTTAAAATGTTCACATGTTCAGCGGTTGTTGAACGATTCATATTATAAAATAACAAACATGAAACTATTGAATATGTGCTTTATTTGATACATGTCACTGAAACAGTGCTACCAAATTAAAAGCATAAAATAAATAGCCCTATAAAGTGTGTGTAAAAAGTATGCGTAGTAGAACGCGTACGGTAATTTTATTTCATGGATTATAAGTTGTTAGTTCCGCGTTGTGTTGTCATCTGAGGTTGGAGTATGAACTCTTACTCAGTGCGTTTCCATCATCTAGTTGGCACAAGCAATTATTGTACAATTTGGGCCCGTGTGAAAGATGATTTTTAATTTTTTCCGATTAGATAATTGATTCGAAAGATAGTTGAGTAATGTATGTTTGGGTTAATGAAGTTCATTACAAATGTACTTAAGAAGGTATTGTGTTGATCTATAAAATTGTGAATATATAGCATGAAGAATTAAGAAGAAGATGGGAAAATAGGAAAAAGTATAATTGAATCACTTATCTTAAAGAACTTACTCTATTATCTTAATCAAGATAATATATCAAATATATATTTTACTTTTAAATAACGAATATAAAAATATAAATAATAAGTATCTGTAAACCTTAAATACTTCAAATTTGACTTTAACATTTAATAGTAATAATTTATTTTTGCCTTTTCAGGAAACTTTGATAAACCTAAGCTAAGTTCAAATCCACAAACATCTAATAATGACTACGTATTTCATTTTAAGGACGTGAGAAGCGTACAAGTTGTTATTTAAGATTTAAGAAAGAAACTAGTTCCCGCTGAAATTAAACTAGCGACTTCAACTATTGCAGCTGCTTAATAACTATAAGAAAGTAAGTGTTTGAAAAGTTTATTTAAAATATATGCTAAAATAAAATAGATTGGTCACTTAACACAAAATAAATTTCTTCTGAAATTCTATGACAGTTTTCAAGTTTCAAATATATTACAAAATTTCTTGGAATCACACCATTACTCACACCATTCTTCCAATGCAGTAAAATAGTACCTGTTCATTTATTAAACGTGATGTGATGGTTATTTCAAATCTCAAATTAATTAAACGCAATCCTTAATAGAGGAACTGCTCTACTAACTGACTATACCTCTATGGTACCAGAGTAGCCGCTCTCTCTACTGGTAAATGGCTATTTGTTGAGAACCAGTTGAATAAACATAGTTCATTTTGAGGTAATTTTTAATATTTTCCTTATTTCAAAATCTAAGCTGACAAGAAAAGTATCTCAAAGTTTCATATTGAAACGTTCCTGATATCGAATTTCCTCTGCCATCTAAACCACGTTAAAATTTTGTCTAATATCCGAATTGCTTGTAAGCTAAAGCAATCAAATCAACAAACTCTTCTTTTTTGTGGTGAATGTCTGTTATTTTGGTTATTCAGCTACATATATACTTACTGCTTACTCATGTACCTATATAGATACATTTGAATATCGTACATACATATGAGTTCTCATATACATGGCATATACACAGCGCATATTTTATGTGGCTTGCCCGCGGCTCTGAGGCTTTCGTTTGTTCTCTAGAGTTTTTCACTTTGTAAATAGAAATGATTTCTTGCTTTAGTATTAAGCAAATGTTTGCAAGTGTGCATATATGCACATATATACATACATATATACACATATTTCATATATATATGAAATATTTATTTTATACATTTTTGATCGTGTTTTTTATATAATAATATGTACGCATACATGTACTCGTTGGAGATACATCAATTTTCGATGGTATGCGTTTCGTATATTATCGCTTAAGTTGAACTTAAAATTACGTCATAGTTTGTTGAAACCGAGTTAGAAAAAACAAATTAAATGAAATGAAATGAAATATAACAAAATAAAATAAATTATGTGCTAACAAGTGAACACATTATTTTTTCTTCTTCGCACATATCCATATCGTCTGCCTCGCCATTCAAATGCCGTAGATTTGTGGAAGTGGGTAATAACTCAACGTAGAATGTATTACCAGCCAAATAATTATAAATATTTGCATAAATTTATTAATAAAAAAATGGAAAACATATATTTCATGATTTTTAATGGCAATATTTGATTTGGTGACTAAATTGATATTTTAAATATTTTGGCCATGGGCTCAGCAGCTCAGCTGGTAAATCAGCAGAACATGGCCGAAAGATGTACAAAAAAATTTTAGAGTACTATGTTAAATAATAATAATAAAAATTATAAATAAAAAAATTCACTCTAATAATGTACAGAAGGTTATCTATCTATTTTGTGATATGAGATTTTAATCTCATATCTGTTTATCTGTTTATTGCTTGGGCTTTACTATTAAGTTTAAAATAAAACATTATTACAGTTTCCTCTATGAGATGACCTGCGATCTGGATTGGATCTTTTTAAGGTAGTGAATGGATGATATTCGTTTTCAAAGCGTTAGAACTTTAAGATTGTACGTATAAACCTGATCGTTTGTACGAATAAACCTGAAATCACACATGTAAAAAATTTATTAGGCCACAAAAACAAAGCCGAAATATTACGTATTACGTATATTATGACACCGTTCTATTGGAACTATCTATCTTCAAGTTTATACTAAAGAAATTGATAATAATGTAGCCATAGCGATCATATTTAATGGCTTGTAGCTTATCTTCGACATTTTCAAAAAAAAAAACGCATTCTGGACAGTTAATTTCCCCATCTCACTACTACATACCCTAATAAAGCCTTTTTTGATCGACCGATTAATCAAGTAAATAACCGACCTTAACACTGAAGAAAATTCGCTGCTTCGTCAGTTTTGCTTCATTCAGCGGTTGTTTAACGAACTATATTCTAAAAGAACAAATCTCAAACTAAATATATATATAACAATGCTTCTAAAGCAAAACCAAGACAGCAATAACCCCTTTATTGATTACCTCGAATCAGACAGCTGAGCGATGCGAGAAACCATCGAATGGGTGTGTAATAATGCCGAATATAAAATACGAGTATAAACAGGGATATAATAAATAATATATGTTGTTAGATTACTGGCAAAAACTTGCTCGTGAAGCGATACTATTGCATTATTTGCTGAATTGCTTTATTGTAGCACTTTTTAATGACGCCCTTGCGTTATTAGTAGAAATTAAATTATAAAATTATTGTTTAAGCGCCATTTCATAATTATTCATTTACACTTTATTGTTGAACTGAATTGCATATTTAAATTCTATTGAAAATACAAGACTATTAAGTAATCATATGAGTTTCTGCAATCACTAAAAAATATGAGGTGTGGTTATGTGAAGCCGACCTAATTTCATCGATTCATGCTCAGAAATCTTATTAAAGAAAATGCATCTAAAAAATAGTATTAACTCTTCAATACACGGAAATGTCGCTCCCTTAAGCAATCATTTTTTATCTTTTTCAACCGCAGAGTAATTGGTAGTTCCCAGTTTTCATTTTTCATACAATATATTTACTAATTGACGAAACAACCCGTTATGGGATTTTAACCTAACGCAACGTACATTTCATACAATACACATTATTTTAAATAGAATAGTAAATAGAATAATAATGGAATAGTATTATCTATCTATCCATCAAGAGTCGATAACAAGCGAAAAGTGGTTTCACAGTCAAACATCTGTCATAGTGAGGAACTGCTGAACCGAAGATGTGAGGCTAAGTCAGACTTACACCCCAACTGAGTAGAATTGAATTTATAGGCTTCATTCAGTTGGAGAGATCCGAAAACGACTTCATCATGGCTTTGTTCGTTTATTTCAATCCCAAATCTGAGCTGTTACATTGACAGCAAGGTATGCACTTGATTTTTCAATGCTGCGGAATGCGTTTTGTTGTTGCACTTGGAATTGTTGTTGTTTTGTTTTAGCTTGTTGTTGTTGTTTGTATTGTATTTTTTTGTTTGTTTTTTATAAGTCATAGCTCTATAGAGTTTTCACCGTTTTCAGTGTTTTTGGTTTTTTTTACTAAATTTATTTTAATTTTACTCTTTTAATGTTTATGGTAGTCAACTGAAGTTCCGGCTGTGTTGTCTTGAACTTGAACTTTTGTGTTCAAAAACGATTTTCTGCCGAATTTGGTTTGATTGAAAATTCAGCCCAATACGAATTTTGAATGCGCTATCTTAAAATCTTAAAATGATAGCGCATTCGGATTCAAAAGTGATTTTATGGCGAACTTTAAAAAAGTGAAAACTCGGTCACAACTTCACTACGTGTATTCTAGTTTAAAGTTAAAGCTGAATTAATTGAAGTGTTTAACTTTTCTAATCCACTTCGAGACATTATTTGTTTAATCATTATTTTCCAAAGAGGTTTTTAGAACAGTATATAACAACAATAAATTTATTATTATTTTTTAATTAATTAAATTTTTGGCTGACCATACAGCTGTTACGAGTATTGCCAAATACCCATCATCAGTGATCTTGAAAATAATTCTTGTATTTAATTATTCATGACCAATTTTTTGAGACTGCAAGTACTAGGAATCGAACTCGTGCCCTGCCAAATTTAAAGCTCACAGTCAGCGCTCCTTAACTTTTATGTTCGCACATTTTTCTGGAGTTTTGTTAATTTGCTGTGATATATTTATATTAGAACGAAATCTTAAACCAGCTGTAGAATAATTAAATTAATTAATTAATTATATTTTTATTTTTATTTGTTAAATTTCAATGCTATTCTATTTGTAATTATTATTTTATTATTTTAGTTATACTATTACTGTCGATGTTGTTATTCAGCAGACGATATGCACTGATTGTTCAGTAATTTAAATTTAATTTTATTTTCGAATTTACACACTAATAGTTCCAGTCTTGTCTTTTCTTTGAAGTCTTAACTTTTAACTTTTTCACATTAAGTTCGATTTGAAGGTAAATATTTATTGGTTTTAAAGCACAGCCGATGCTCTCTAAGGATTTACTCAACTTCATGGGGCATCCTGCCAATTCCTTATGTTTTAAAAATTAATATTGTTGCTATTATCGTTTAAGTGTTAGTGTTCGCTTAGTTTAGTTATTAGTGTACGCTTAGTTTAGTTATTAGTGTTCGCTTAGTTTAGTTATTAGTGTACGCTTAGTTTAGTTATTAGTGTACGCTAAGTTTAGTTATTAGTGTACGCTAAGTTTAGTTATTAGTGTTCGCTTAGTTTATTTGTTGTTGTTGGTTTAGTTTTTTTGTTGTTTTGTGTTTTAAAGCGTTGTTGTAATTGGCTTAACTTTATTATTAGTTTTGCAGTGTGTTTTTGTTTCGGTTGGCTTAGTTTTTGTGCTGCCTTTAGTGTTTTTGTTGTGATTGGGTTACTTTTGTCGTAGTTCTTGAAGTGTGTTGTTGTTGTTGGTTTAGTTTATTTGTTGTCTTTTATATGGTGTTGTTATTGCCATTAGTTTAGTTTTGTTATTGCTTCGCACAGCCTTCTACTTCTTACTGGTACACATTTTGTTTTTATTTTTATTTTTTGTTATTAACAAATGATAGGAAAAGCATTAAATTTGATTATTTACAAGTTGGCTTTGGTTTATTATAAGTTTCTGTACTTGTTGTATTGCTATGGTAGAGCATCTCTGCTGATACTGTTATTTTAGCTGTTATTGTTTTTCAATACTGTAAATGTACAGCTGGTTCATCGCTACAGTCATGGTAAGGTATCCTTCTTCAGCAGAACAGAGTTACAGAGTTGAGGTTGCTGGTGGAATATTTAATGGGTCACCAAGGAATGCGTTATCACCTTAACAAAATGGGTCTGTTCGAAGAGATAGATTGTCGACTCTGCTTAGAAGCAGATGAGACTTCTAGTCACATTATCTG